CAGGGCTGATTTTTAGGTTAATTCTTAGGTCCTGCCAGACTCAGCACTCTCCAAGCTGTCTGTACCGTGCTGTCAGGATCACTGCCAGATTGCAGCTCCGTATGTCTCCTGTTTTGGTATTTTCATGCAAATTCTTCTGCTATTTGGGGTTTAGTCCACTTCTATATCCTTCCCTTCAAGGCTCAGGGGTCTAGGATTATCTTCTGTGTCTGTGTTAATTGGTTCCCCCTTTCTTTGTTGAAGAGGGTCTGTGCAGTCTTTCTGCCTAGTCCACCATCTTACCGGAAGTCTTAATATGTGTTTTTATGATGTACTCTATGAGAAAAGGAGTCCCTTGATGACAGAAATGTTTAAATGCTTGACTACTAGCTTAAAGATTGACAGTTCAAATGCACCCAGAGGCACCTCAGAACAAGGCTGGCAATCTACTCCCTTTCCCAACCTTGAAAACCCTATGGAGCAGTTGTGCTCTGCATATATAAGGTCACCATTAGTCAGAATTAACTCTATGGCAACTAACAGCAATGACATAAGAGCAGAGAAGCTGAAAAACTCAAGTAAATTAAAAAACAATCAGTATTTCATGGGAACTGATGTATTTTAACTATAAATTGATATTTTAAGAAACACTTCTATATTTTAGTTTTTTATTAGTAGTTAGTAATATTGAACATCTTTGAAATATAGTAGTTTCTGAATACTTTCAATAGATCCAGACAGGAAAGATTATCCATGAAAATTAGTTTTAATTGTTCTAGTTTGAAAAAGTTGCTGCTGTTTTCTAGGTATAGAGCACCAAGACTCACAGCATTCTTTCTTGGCATTTTTGAATACGCCTACCGATGCTCTGGATCCATTTGAAGTAAGTACTAAACTTGTAAAATATTTTCTCTGGTCTATTTAAAATTTACTTTGTGATTTGAAATTTACTTGCAATAATACTTTCATCACATCCCACATAAGAGGACTTGGAATCTGATATAAACAAAAACATTATTGGGAAAGGAATGTTCTACAGTTTTATATAAATTATAATCACATAAGTATTTAATAAAACATCTAAGAGTAATCTTAAATATCAGAGTCATTTTTAAATTTAAAA